TGTTGCCACACACTTGCATGTGAATATATATGTCAGTATGTTTGTATGGTTTTAAATTTGTAGTGGAATATACATGTATATGGGTGTGATTTCTCAGCTGTTAACATGACAGTTGGTGGGGCTTGTGTGGGTAATTTTTTTTAAATTCACTCTAAATTAAATATAAGTGCTACTACTAACTGATATGTAGGTATGTATATAGGTAAGTATGTTTCACCTACATTTATCTTCAAGTATATTGTTGGCAGCATGCACATACATACATACCTACATCCTGTCAAACATGGCTGTGTACAGTAGTAATTGCTTAGATTGCTTTTCATAAAGCATGAATAGCTTTTGTTACACGATAGAAAAAAAAAAAAAAAAAACAAACAAAAAAGGAAAAAAAATGAGGATTATGCAATCGAGCCTCGTCCGTGCGCATATTTTTGAAGAATACCGTAATCGTGGTAACAGCATTTCGTTGCGTTGAGCTGTTTAAGAAAAAGTAAAAGTTAATATTGTACAATCATTGCTGATTGACGGCCCAAATGTGGTATGCGCATGAGAAACACACATACATACTATATGCATGTATGTAATTTTAATTTATTCATGCACTGTCTGTTATTAATAATGAAAAACTTAATGAGTCTTGTGGGTGTTGTCCGAATTGGCGTTGCCATATATTTTTGATGTCTTTTGTTGCATTTGCTTTGGCTTGATTTTACTGCGCGGATGAGTGTTGTTTGCGCATGCGCACCTGTCCGGATTATGTCTACTTATAAATAGTTAAGTACACATAATTATGCACATACCTATATAGTATGTATAGATGTATATAGTTGTATGTATGTGTATTTTAACATACTTTTAATAGGCGTGTAATCCGAACGCTAAGCGATCGCTGGGCGTCACTTGAGATTGTTGTTAATGCTTGTAATTGATATTCGCAGTTTGGGTCTGTATATATGTATGTATATAGACAACTATGTATAGATCAAGTAATATCTGCATTGCTCAGCGTTTTTTATTATTAATTGAAATCTCCGATTGGTTATGGCTTAATGATGCGGTTAAAATCGCGATCGAGATGAATATCAAATTAACCTACAATTTAAATTTTATAAAAATCAAGTCAAATGATATATATGTATATACGATACCTATGCATGTATGGATATATGCATGTATACTAAAAACATATGTTAATATCTTATATTGGGTATTAATTTGATCGCTTTTTCGTTCAAAGAAGTTTTTTTCATTAAAAAACTAGCAGACCCAGCGAGCTTCGTCTCGCCTTAATTACCTGCCTTTATATTACATTAGGACTGATTATAAAATATATGCACGTTCAGCAAGCAAGAATAAACAACAAAGATGGTTTGTTAACACGCGAACATAGACAGTTCTCAGAAAATTAAATTAAACTTAGTGGTTTCAGAAAAAAAAAGTTCAAGCACCCCATAAGAATAACTTTCATAACGCACGCTATGGCATAGCTCGGCTTTTACGTACTTAAATGCAGGAAAACGGATCCCCAATATGCACGGACGTGCCTTACAACAAAGCTTCTGCTTAAGTCAACGAATGATGCCATCTATTGGGTTATGGAATGGACCAAGCCAATCAAATATCTGCTCGGTGACTCTTGGTACACTTCCGAAAATTATTTTATATAAATCCAAACCATAAAGACGATTTTTTCGGATAGATCGATCCTGATGTTTCTGCCAAGCTAAGCAAAAGGCTACCTATGTATAAAATTTCAAGAAAATCGAACAATGAAATCAATTTTTTTTAATAGATCACACCCTGGTCCGCTTTTTTCGCATGGGTCAGTTCTTGGTACACTTCCCGGAGAGAGAGTCTTCCAGTTAGTTCAAGCACAAAGCTTTCTATATACCGAATTTTAAGTGAATCGAATAACAAAAATTTTTTTTCGAATAGATCAGTAAGTAGAATAGTTACGATCCACTTTCCGGTTAGAATTGTACTTTTCGTGTTAATCTAAGCAAAAAGCCACCTGTGTACCGAATTTCAAGTAAATCGAACAGTAAACCATTTTACGTATAAATAAGTCCCAGGTCCTCCTCCCAATTTGAAAAAACAGGCAACAACTTTCACGCAAAGAATACACATACAAAGTTTCATCAAAATTGGTCAAGCCGTTTCGGATGAGTATATCCTCGTACACTGTGACAGGAGAATTTTATTTATTAGGTATTAAGAGAACCTTTGAAGTATTGTACGTCCGAAGCATGTACCTTTTACCATCTCTCTGATAATTTTTAAATACCGTCTTTAAAAAAGAAGACATCTCTGCACTCGATCCAATCATGCAGCCGTTCTTCGATTTCTTCAAAAGGCCCGAACCATTGTACCTCATAAACCGTTTCGGCTCTGTAGCCAGTAGTTAAAAGAAACAATATCTGGAGAGCACGATGGGTGGTGTATAACCTTCAGCTTTCTCAGGTAGATTTTGTTCGTTACAGACACGTGGGGCCATTGCAAAATCACTTTTAATGCCTTTCAGTCATTTTTGGCCGGCTTTTGAGCAAAGAACGGCTCAAATGTATTAGTTGTAGTCGATCATCTATGGCTTCACCAGGTTTTAGCAACTTTTGGTCAGTTGTACTAGAAGTAGATTGCTCTTTATCTTTGACTCCAAAATTATCACTTTCACCATAAACTTCCATACCAAGCATGCGATGATTTCATCTGCTGTTTTCTTCTAATTAAAATCAAAACTTCCCGCAAAAGTTATTTTTTTAATACAAATTTGGATATTTTTGAAGTGGCAAAAACTAATTTTATTCTCCGATGGTGATGTATACTAAATATTGTTGTCAGATGTGAAACCTCTCTTGTGAAATACGTAATCGCTTCCAAAAGCGGCCACAACTTGCAGGTGGAGTCATCCATCGAGAACAGATCGAAGCATTTGAATGCCACTTGTTGTAGAGAGAATACTAAGTTTGTTCATCTGCGCTTGTTTGTAACTGAGTTCGGAAATTTTGTGCGTAAAGTCGTCGTTAATGTAACTTTGGGGATTTAATATAATTTGAATTTCAAGTTTGATTCCTTCAAAGTAGTTCCCTTTAAACATTTCATGATGCACACTGTCCAATGTTTTTTAATACTCCAACTTGTACAACTACGGTTGTGAAAAGGCTGAAAAAAGTCTAGAGTCTGTCAATTATCAATATCAGCGGAGCACCTACTGATTTATTATACCCACCCAGGTGAGGTGGGCTTGACGTACGGAACCTTTTTCTTTGTTTTACATTAACACCAAGTCATGAGGAGCATGAGAATTTAAAAAAAAATGAGCTACAGGGCAAAAAATCGGCTGTTAAGCAAAGTAACGCATCTACTAAAAGGAAGAACGGGGTCATAGAAGACCAATGGCATCCTACGGAATAGTAACAGGAGAGTATGGAAAGCAGTCATACACGGTGTGTCCCAAAAATAACCGAACTTTTTGGATATAAAATAAAATACACATTATATTATCTTTGAAAGTTATTATTTATTCAAAATAGGTTCCATTTGACTCAACGCAACGTTTGGAACGATCAACCAGGGCATGCATAGATTTTTTTTATGTCATTTATAGAAATGTTCTTCATTACCTCTGTTACGGCTGCTTGAATGGCGGGGATATCATCATAAAATGCTCCCTCCATCTTGGTTTTTGGAAATAAAAAATAGTCACGTGGTGATAGATCAGGCGAATACGGAGGATGGTCGATGGGAGAAATCCCTTTTTTTCATTAAAAATTCGAGCGATTTTTTGGTCGTCACTTAATTCATGTGGAACAAATGGCGCACAGACCTTTCTTTTCCCCAAATCTTCAGTTAAAATTCTCCAAATGGTGTTTTTACACATATTCAATTCCTCAGCCAACATTCTCGTCGTAAAGTTTGCATCGATATCAATGATTCCACGGACTTTTTCCACCAGTTCAGCACGATTACTAGTTTCTGGACGTCCTGCTCTGGGGTCGTCATTTAAAAAAATCCTCACGACCATTTTTAAATCGTGTAAACACGACTCATACAATCATCACAATAAACTTTTTTCATTAATTTTTTTTTCAAGTTTGACACAAAATTTTATATTTGCTCTTTGTTCCATTTGATTTTTGAACCATTAGCACATTTTTGGATTTATTGAAATGGCTGTCACTTTTACATCTGTCATCCGACTTACATGATGTTAGGTGCGTCTGAAAGAGGACGAATGTATCTTTTTAATGTTGCAAATTTTCAATAGATGGCGCTGTATGTTGTATGATTTAAATATAAAGTTCGGTTATTTTTGGAACACACCGTGTATACATAAACGATCAGGTAAAAGCACTGCTGGCCTGTTCCGCCAAAGATTAACTCCTCTTTGCACACTTAGTTCGAATCTGCCACGTGATAGATAGTCAACAGCTGTAGGAAGGTCTTACACACCGGCAGATAAACTTAACTTATCGATAATCCTAGTTTAGGGTAACAAAAAAAAAATAAACGAGTTGGCGAAGACAAGAGCCTGTCTAGACGAATCCGAGGCGGTATGATATTAGCCCCAAGGTGTGAACAAGCGAGGTATTTATATAAAACAAATAGCTCAGCACAGCTGGAAATCTATAACCAATTGCAAGATAACGAAGTCCGTATCTGCCAATTATGATAAAACAAGAGCAAAGATTTGACATTTACTGCAGAGGAGCGATCACAGAACTTCTTTTGTATAATTTTTCGGCTAGTGAACGATCCTTATATACAAATGGAAGAATTGTGAAAAAATGCAGCAGGTTATTGTAGCTTCGTCATATCCGCGTTCATCTCTTCCTTTCTTTTAGTTTTTAGTTGCGAAACATTTGCTGCATAAGAACAAGACCAACTTTAGTGTGGTCAGAAAATTATTCAGCATCACTAACCTGTTTTCATATTCACTTGATAAATAACTGAATCAACATTATTGTCTCACTTTACATTTCTTTCTTCCACTCTTCTTGCAGTGAAACGGTAAAAAACCTCAAGTGTTGAGCAGCGTGCAGTTTTACATACTCATTCAACAACATTTCACAAGCGATTTGCCGTTCAAGCCATATACACGCGCTCACAACACATACATAAACGCACACAACAGATAAGGCTCACCCACAACGCGACGGCATAGCGCTGCATAATGCATTCACTCGCCAAAAGAAACGGTGGTCCAACTAAACTATGTACCCTTGTAGCGGTATTACCATTATGAATCACCTTGTGACGTGCACGTGAATCATTTAGATTTAGCGAGGAGTGAAATATTTTTGTGGCATATTCTCTCCCCTTCCCCCTTATAGGTTTTGTTGTTTTTAACTCATTAAAATAACAAATATTCGTGAGAATTTGTGTTCTTGAAAAGTGCAGAAAGCGCAGCAGCTGCTCAAGAGTCGAGAGCGTGTGTGGAAGTGTAGTTGGAGGAAGATTGAAGTTGATCTTTGGTCTTCGCAAAGAGTGGTCGTTTAAACGTCGCACAAAATCAAGTCAAGAGTTTACAGAGCAGCAGCAGCAGCAGCAGCAGCAGTAGCAAGGCGCTGGTGAATTTTTATCGCGTGAACGTGATGGCATCAAATCTGAGTTTGTTCGTGAAATTACTCTTCCTGCTACTGGTGAGTCCATTGAATATGAATTATTTATGATAATTTTGTTATTTAATTAATTTAATTTATTTATAAGTCAAGTGAAATTTGTAGTTTGTGTTATTTATCCATTCCAAAGGTTAGCAAATATTTATAAAACTGATGCAATATGTATGATTTATTTGTATGTTGGTCTAGTAAAAAGTAATCAATAATTTTTAATTTTTTGTCAAATATAAAGCGTTCTTCCCGATAAAATTTTTGCCATTTTTAAGGTGAAGATTGTTGTTCTTAATGACAAAAATTTCGGCCAATCGATTGCATATTAAAAAATCTTGTTGTAGGTAGTCTACGACCCTATTCCATATTCCACAATAAACAGGACCAAAAATGCTGAGCATAGACTGAAAATCGACTAATCTTTCAGAAATCCCTCTGCAATTTTTTTTTTTATTTTTTTTGTTTTTCGAAATTAGCGGGTAAAATAAGTCAGTGTAGAAAGTGTACTTATTAGCTTAATACTACCATAGCCTAGAAAAAATCTCTGCAAATACCCGGAAGAAAATTATTGATATCCTACATTAAAAAAGTTTATTTAAAATTTGTCCAGAGAGATGGAGATAGACGGTCAGAGACTCAGAAATAAAGAGAGATAGATTAGGAGAAAGAATTAGAGAGATGAAGAGGAGAGGAAAGATATATAGAGCAAGAGATAAATAGAGAGAGGGGGACACATATAGAGAAATAAAGTGGCAGGGCAAAGGGGGTAGAGAGAGATATACATATATAGGCAGGTGGAAAGAAAGAAAGAGGGGGATAAGAAATTAAGTGAGATAGAGATGGAGAAAGAGAGATAGAGAGAGAGATAGCACTCCTTATAGTTGATGTGTTCAAAGGACATAAAACTGACGGATAAAGATGTTTAATTTTACAAATTTCTTATTCTCGGACACACTACATACGACCACGCTGCACTGCTACACTCTTTATTGTGTCTCTAAAGTGAAGAACGTTGCTGTTCTCTTCTCAAATTGAAGTTGTCGTTTTGGCTCCTCGGACTTTGCTGATTGCAGGTCCTGCACCCCTTATGATTTTTTATGAGCTATAGGAAAGCTTTTAAAAAAAGACACATACAATTCAGAAAAATGCATGCATTTAAATTAATGTTTGATGATTATTTCAGGCAAAATGGTTCATCCGCTTAGCCCAATTTTTGAATACTCTTTCCAACATTTCATCCCTTCCTCCCTCAGCCGGTATCTCACGAATAAACGCTTCACTGTTGTCCTCCAATGCGTCAATTGAACCGGGCTTCTCTGTATAGACTTTAGATTTAACATAGCTCCACAAAAAATATTCTCAAGGCGTTAATCCGCACGATCAAGGAGGCCAACTAACCGGTCCCGAATGTGAAATAAAACGTTCCCCGAACTTGTCTCTCAATAAGTCCATTGTTACGCGTGCTGTGTGGCATGTGGCACCGTCTTGTTGAAACCACATGTCATGCAAGTCATGCTCTTGTATTTTTGGCGAAAAGAAGTTTGATATCAACTCATGTTAGTGCTCACCATTCACAGTTACGCTATTATTCGCATCAACTTAAAAGAAGTACGGTAGCTCTTGTAATGCTTCTGGCTGATCTTCACACCAAAATCGTCAATTCTCAAGCCAAAAATGAGCTCCCCGTTGAACACATTTTTTGATTTTTTGAACTTTCCTAAAAAAAATTTGATAATGAAATTCAATAATTTGCAAGCATTGTTCGTTTGTATGACGATTCATGGTTAAATTATAGACCAAACTGAAGATGTTTGTCGGCGATTCAAAACACGAAACGTGCGTCAGCTGTTTAAACCAGTGCTGCATTAAATGTAATAGCTAAAAAATTATCCTAACAAAGGTTATAATTGTTTGTTGAATGATAAATAGACACTCACAGAATACGTACTCGATTCCCTTTACACATTCTTTACATTTCAACACATTTCCTGCATTTTTTGCCCAAAGACCCCGTTCACAGTCCTACCAGCAGCCGGGAATCTGGCATCTTTACCGATAGTAAAATTTTTGTAAGTTTAGCACATAGTTACAACCGTTCAATTCACTCAAAACTTAAACACCTGCGAACGTCAGAGAATTAATTTAAATATAATTGATCTTTTAAAATCTCTAAAGCGTATTTCGTCCGAGCTCCGAGTGTTTTCACAAAAATTGGAAAGGCCTACCATTTATGCCAAGCTGTCTTTCAACAACCGACGGATTCGTAGGAAGAGTTTTTATTTAATGTCAGAAACACACTCGGAGTGATTTATATTCCCTGCCGAGCAATATTCGCAATCGAAGAAATTATATCATTTTTGATGATTGCCCGGACTAGAACTTGAATCCTGATCTTCAGTACTCTAGGGGTGGTTTTCCATCCCGTGAGAGCTGACTCTACTGGTTATCAAGCTTTTCTATGGCTTGGGTGATCGTTTTTAGGCAAAAAATTAAGAGAATAAAAAAAGTTCTATTTTTTCACTCAATTTTTGGCTTTCAATGGCTGTGGAATTCAAACTTGTCGGCGAAGTTTGAGCAAACTTTTACAGCAGCCTATTGGTAGATACCAGTTGGGAAGAGCTGTGGTGCATACAAAGTTAGCAGACGTCAAGACGTCACAAAATTATCAAACTACTCTTGTAGTCCTTGAAGAAAAAGGTTCATACTGTCATGCTCTTTTGCGAATACTGTTGCAAAGAAAAGCGCAAAGTTGCCTTCAATAGTTGGACAAATTAACTAAATTATCACACCTTTCTCCCAATCTAAATATAGCAATCTGAGCATAAATATATGTATGTAAATGCAGCACCACTTTTAATTACTTCGCCGCAGCAAAAATTGATGGTTGCCAAAGAATTTCGTTAATATGCTAATGACGGCAATAAATGTTTCATTAATTGTGGCCAATAATGTCGGTTAGATTTGCAAAACTTTTGCCTTTCAACGGATGTACGTTCGTGCTTTACTCGTTGTTGCTCTCGTTGCTCCGATTGGTATTTTCTTTTTTTTTTTTTTGTTAACATAAAAACATTGTATTGTTGTTCTTGTTGTAAGTGATGTTGTAGCATTGCAATACATTGTTGTATTGTGACTGTTGCAATTTGAATTGATTGAGTTGCAATTACGAGCGCAAGCCGTCGCCGTCACCGCCGCCGTCAACGCTGGCACTTGAGCTCAGGAGCTTTTTGCTGCTGCCTGTTGCCTGCTGCTTGTTACTGTTTAATAGCCAATTACTGACTTTTGTTGCTATTTTCAAGTGGCTAGCGTTAGTTGGCTATTGCTGCTCATATAATTGGTTAATTGCATTTGCCATTGCAAATAGAGAGAATATTATTAGTCGAGTTCTGCAGTTTTTTTTATTGCATTGTATGTATGTATGTACGTAGTATTTTATTTAACAGCCACTCGTATATGCTTCGGTCATGCAGTCGGTCAGTTGGTTATTCGGTGGGCTGGACAAAGATCATTAAGGCGATGGGGACTCGATTATTGCTATGCTAGATTATACCCTTTACGACGTTGAAAGAACATTCAATTTCTCTGTAAATCTCAAAGATAGTGAGGGAGAGAGAGAGAAAGAGAGAGAGAGAGAGAGGGAAAGAGAGAGATAGGGAGAGAGAGAGAGAAAGAGGGAAATAGAGAGAAAGAGAGAAGGAGAGAGAAAAAGAGAGAGACGGAGATAAAGAGAGAGAACGAAAGACAGAGAAAAAGAGGGGGGGAAATAATAAAGAAATAAAGCATCCGATACGGCTTGGGTTCTAAGTTGAGTTTTGAAGATATATTAGGTCAAGTAAGAAGTTCGTTCGGTTTTTTATAGATTTTTCTAAATATGATAACTTTGTTTACATTTGTCCGATTTAAGTCAAATGCGCGCCGTTTTGTTCGTAGACTTGTTGCCAACGAGATGTCAACTTCATTATACTCTATGCTGTTATGGTGTGACGCAGTGCGGTCACCAGATTCTCATACCGGAAAATCTCACCGAATGAATTTCTTCCAGGGCATACAAAAACTTTTCAAACAAAAAAACCGTTAGCCGTTCGAAAGCAGCTTATAATAAACAATCAACAAAGATATCAAGACCCACACTAAAAATTGTAGGAGAAGTTTTGGGCCGAAATCGCTTCAGCGCCCAATATGTGGCGCAGGAACCACCGGTACGCCAGGGGTGTCCATGTTGGAGTGAACATTAAGTCGAACTGGATCTCAAGAACCCCTTCAGACTGTCGGATAGTACAACAGTATTTTCCAGCAAGTAATTTACGTGGTGAACAAGGCTGCTGAGCCTGATAACACCTGAATACCTTGATAGCCCGGTGGATAATCACACATCGTGTTAGGTCAGAAAATGTCCTTTGAACCATAAAGACACTAGATAAGCCGACTACGATGCAGCAACTGCATATCTGCTGGACGTTGTGATAAAAAATTTGATGAAAATGGCAAAAGTATCATCCGTCTGACGACCGAACCGGTATATAAAGTACAAAAGTCGCTGAAGACTACATACGATGAGATTTTTGAGAGAACTGGAGCACATACCAGGGATGAGATTAAGTGTCTTAGCGACATGAAGACCACCAAAATCATATGCTATGTCAGCGAAACAAAGTACTCTCAGTTATTACTTACGTGGCCTCGAAAAGGACTGCGTGCCAGATGTAAGCTTAATCAAAGGCAAGTGACACATGTAGGAATTACAAGGATGCAGGCGTCAGTGAGATGTTGGAGCACCTCCTCTGCTTATGTCGGGCCATATCTGGATCTAGTCAGTTAAGAAGCTTCGTTGCTCCGAGTACTAGAAGAAGTGTTAAAACTGGCTTCAAGAGAAGTTCTTCGAAACCTATCCCACAATCCCCCACCATTATGTGGTATGCGTCTTGAGGTTTTTTTTAAATAAACGGAAGGAGACTTATAAATTAATCCAAGCAGCCTCCAAACGGCTGATGGGCTTTTACTACGAATTTTTTTTTTCTTATCAGATACACTTT